AATCTAATAATTATTATTGATTTGTTTTGACCTTGATAAACTGTTACAAAACATTGTAAATGTTTTATATTATTCAATATTTAATATATTAAAACAAAATTATATGAATATATATCTCTAAAAAGAAGTAAAAAGCATAGAAACAAAATAAAAGTAATTTTTTTTTAAAATTAAAATATTGAAACTTATTCATGATTTAAGTGAATTAATAAAAATTAATATAAAACTTTTTTTTTTTCACTGCTTAAAATTATATAATTTTCTATTAGACAAAGATGATAAAATATTTATGAAATATTAATTTAATTTATAATTAACAAATAAATAAAAAATTTAAATTTTATTTATATATATATATATATTTTTTTTATTTATCACATACCTGGTTAATCCTTTTAAGTATTAAAAGTTTCATTAAATATGATAATATAGTTATGAGTAGTTGACTCTAATAATTATCTCTTGTCCATCATTATCATCGCCCAAATGAAATTTTATTTTAATTTGTCTGTATGTCAACTATAAATTAGTTTTTACTATTTTTAATGTATTTTTACATATTGAACATTTATTATCATCTATTTTAAAACATTATTGTCTTTTTCTTCTAATTTCTTTTCTAATTTTTTAAATTCTTCTTTAGTTTTTATTTCTAAATCATCCAAAATTTGCTCAACTTCAAGTACTTCAGGTATATAAAATTGTAGCATATTTTGAATACCATTTTTCAATGTAACAATAGAACTTGGACATGTTGTACAAGAACCTAATAATTTGAGTTTAACAATACCATTTTCAAAACCTTTAAAAACAACATCTCCACCATCTTCTTGTACTGTTGGCCTGATTCTAGTCTCTAATAATTCTTTGATCATTTTTACAGTATCATCATCATCATCATCATCATAATTATCTTCACCATTTTCCTTCACAAAATCAGATTTCGATTCATTTTCAGTTAAAATAGGTAGGCCACTTGAAAAAAAATCCATAATTGTGGCGAATATCTCAGGATTAATAAGTTTCCAGGATACATCTTCATCTTGTTTAGTAATAGTTATAAAATCCGGACCGAAAAAGACGGATTTAACACCATTTATTCTAAATAATGACTTACCAAGTGGCGAACATAAAGCAGAAGCAGCATTTGGAAAATCTTTCGTTTTTCCATTTTCTAGAACTTTGACTCCGGGGATAAATTTTAAACTATTAGGGTTAGGAGTGTCCTGTGTTTGAATAAACATATTTCTACTAATTATATTAGCATTGAAATTAGTTTTCATTTGGAGAGAGTTTAATCTGAAAAAAAAATATATATAAATATGAATACAAGGTTAAAAGTATTAAAAATAATATTAAATTAATCGATAGGTAAATTATAAAATTACCTAAAATTCGTATGATTCCTTTTAATAAAATGTAAAACACTAATGAATTTCATTTTAATTTATATTTTTTATTTGAAATTGAAATTTCGTTATGTTTACGAAAAAATATTTAATAATTATAACTGAAAAAAAAATTATAAATACTTTTTTAACTTTATTGACATTTAAACATTAATTTTTTCTTCAATACAAAAGCTACCAACATTAACTGCTGCCACGTGAAATTTTTTTGTTTGTACGACAAAAAAGTTCGTTATTAATTTAATTTTTTTTTTTGTAACGGCTGGAAATAAAACTTGTCGTCGCTTAGCAAAAAAAAAAAAAAAAAAAAACTCTAACTTACCTTTTTAAGTTTATGTCCTATTATTTAATTTTTACTGTTAAAAATGTTAGTAGCATCTATAAAAAAAAAAAAAAAAATTAATGTATTTTTGTATATTGTTATAACTACTGTCCAATATGAATTTTCACCTTAATACTTAAATGTGAATCTAATAAATGAAAATAATAAAATTACGAACAAAAAAAAAACTTATCTTCTTACAGAACGAAAATAATCATATTAGAATTTAAACATTATTTAGTTTACAATAATTCGTAAAATATTTATATTAAAGTATTCCACAAAACAAAACAAAAAATTACATTATCGTATTTGTAGAGATTGTATATTATTATTATTATTTTTTTATTATCTGAGGATCATTCTTAAAGATATAAATACATTTTACACAAGATTTTAAATAATACTAAAATATTCGTTAAACTTATGTAATA